TCTCTCTCTCTCTCTCTCTCTCTCTCTCTCTGTGTGTGTGTGTGTGTGTGTGTGTGTGTGTGTGTGTGTGTGTGTGTGTATGTGTGTGTGTGTGTTCGGAAATGATCTCACAGCGCTTCCGCCACGTAACTCCACTATACAATCAGTGGTACACCAGGTCCGCCATGTAACTCCACTATACAATCAGTGGTACACCAGGTCCACTCATAGCCCATCATATGCCGTTTTAACTGCCACCCATCCATGCTACCCTGCCAGCTTAAAATGACAGGCCACACAAAAAAACAAACAAGCAAAACCACTGCTGCCACTTTACTTCTCTGAASCTACCTCATACATCCATGGCTAACCACAACCAGTTTTCTGCGTCCCACATAGGATGGAGGGCATGGGGGAGGCGRGAGGGCAGATGACACACAACGACATCAAGCAGGCAATGAAGGCATGACGTGATAATGCATGGAATGACAAGCAACAACGAAGGACAAAGGCTGGAGGGCACAGGGGAGGTGGAAGGGCAGACGACACACAAACACACCAAGGAGGCGGGAGGGCAGACAACAACAAGCACACAAGGCAGGCAAATCAGAAAAAAAAATACAAGTCCATAAAAGTTTCAAAGACCGAAAAAAAAAAAAACTGATGATCACAAGATTGTTTCGTCGGAATTGCACCGACTCATCAGGAGGCTGAACCCTCGACAATCTGAGGAATCCTCGTATTTGATGGTTTGGGTCATGAACCCTTTGACCCTTGTTGAAGGCAGACTGTCCCCAAGCGGAACATAGCAGCGGGCAGCAACCCTGTGGAGCACCAGGCAACACAGTAGAGGCAACACGGCTGCACAACGCCAAAAACGACGGCAAGGAATGACATGGCATGCAGGGCATGCAGCACGGCAACCGTGTAGTGAGCACAAGACAACACAAGCAAGGCAACAGCACTGCAGGGGACAACAGGGCGACCGGACCAGCAGCTCGGCAACCGTGGAGCGGAGCACAAGGCACCTGCAACAAGGCGACCAACCTACAAGGCACACAAGCGGCAAACACGGGAAGACACGACCAGCGGATGAGAAGCACGGCAGCGAAGCGCAAGGCAACACCAACAGCACAGCCACACTACACAGCGAACACATCAACCTGCGAAGAGCCGCATGCGAAGCAAGCAGGACAAGCAGCAGGGCAACGGCAGAGCGCAGACAAGGACGTCCGCACATCCAACGCGGAGCAAAGCGGCACATGACCTACTCACATCACGAGTTAATCCCGCAGACTGTTGGTTCCCACCACCCACTGAGCCAGGGAGACACTCCGACGACCATCCGTCATGACCGACAGGCAACACAGACATCCCGAACCAAGCAGCCCCCCTAAGAGTGCAGTAGGCATTCCAAACGAGAACCTACCGACTATTTGGCACTGCTAGAGGGTGTTCGGCTAGAGACACACGTGTGTGCGCGCGCATCCCTCGACTTGGAAAACCATGGCAAGTGAGTCCGAAGCAGTTGGCCAGCAATTCATTTGTTTCTGTTTTTTTTTTTTTTTTTTTTTTCCCAACACACTCAACCCTTCTATTCTGGGAGGTACCAGTCCGGTTGCTTATTACCGGCAAGCATAGAAAGACAACAGGAAAACAAGCATAACATCAGATGAGAGAGAAAGGAAAGGCCTACCTGCCCGGCCCGAGACGCCAATGGCAGGGGACTGCGACTAGCTACCACACCTACGAGCAACAGGCTCGTGACCAGCCGGGAAACATCCCCAGGGTACCCAGACACCTACCCGGGCTGACACGAGAGATCCTGCACCTGAGGAGGGGGAGTGTGCCATCAGCCGTGGTTTTGGCAACTTTCTACAGTGAAAAAATATACCAAAAGTGTGATCATCTGTCAGTCCCTGTTGTTGTTGTCGCTGTTGCTCCTGCTGATGCTGCTGTTGTTGTTGTAGCCGTTGGCGGTAGTGCTTTGAAACGGTTTTCACCTTTTGCAGTCACAGATGCGGATCCCAGGGCTCGATCCCCAGACCTTAAGCCTTGCCTTCCCTGTGTACAGTATCAAGTCGACCCTGTGTGTCTTGAACCCGTGACCTGTGTGTTAGTAGTTGAAAGTTATCTGTCGTAGGTCTGAGTAGTTGTTGAGTCTTGAACCTTAGACCTGTCGAAGTACGGGTCATAACTGCATAGGGGTCGTAGTTATTGTAGTTCTGAAAGGTCAAGGTCGTAGCTGCTACAGTCCTGAAAGGTCAAGGTCGTAGCTGCTACAGTCCTGAAAGGCCAAGTCCGCAAACTTCCGGAAGGTCAGGAAGTGGCCTTTCAAGTTTCTTCTCACGTTATACACAGCAGACCAGAGGCAAGTGGGCAAGTGGTGATTCCAACTTCGCTTAGTCAGCAGTACCCAGTCCCAGTCTCACTTTGTACAGTCAGCAAGTACCATGAGGGACTGTGTGCACCATGGGTCCGGTGGAAAAGCGCAGACCAGCGACTTACAGAAGTATAAATCAAGAGGCAGCATCCAGCCATTCATTCATTCCTGCGTGAGCCATGCGGAAGCGCTGCCCAAGCGTCTTGTGCGAGGTGGTCTGCAGATGCCCGAGGTCGAATTGGGCTTGAAGAAGTTAGTGCGCCATAGTTAGTAGTAGCCGGCGGCCATTGCCACCATAGCTAGCGTTAGATGTTAGTGTGTGTGTATGCGTGTGTGATGCAGTGAGCGCGTGTGGGGTATTCATGGTGATTTAGGGTTGAGTGTGTGCAAAAAGTGGTGTTGGAAACAGTGTCGAGAGTTGGGATGTACAGGCGCTGATGCGCCATAGCCTGTTGCAGAGAGTTTGCATCTGAATGGTGTTCTCGGGTTCAATATCTCTGAGTTTTGAGTGGGCGCTTGGCGCCATTGTGAATTGCCATCTGTTTGCATGTATGCAAACTGAAGAAGAAAGCGAGTCTGATTGCAGCTTGCTTGTGTGGTTGTTATTTGTATTTGTTATTTGTATTCGTTATTTGTAGTTTTTGTTATTTGTATTTGTAGTTGTTGTTTGTGTGTGCTGGGTATGGTTGTTGCATGTGGTTGCTGACCGTGGGTCGTTGGTTATTGGTTGTCGTTTTTTGGTTGTGGCTGTCAGTTCTTGGTTATGGGTTGACTTGTGTTCATTGATTGTTGCGGTTTTGTTCACTTTTTGTTGGTTAAAGGTTTGCAGAAGGTTTAAAACCATCAGTACATCTGAGCCTCTTCCTATTGATGCCGATTGAATTTCCCCCTGCGTGCCAAGCTTTGCCGAAACGCCAGGTGCTTTTTTCTTTTCATTTGGCTGGCGGCACTATCCATTTTGGTCCCCTCCACCCCGACCCTCCGAACTTTCTGGAATGCCTCCTTTTCAATCCTCTTTGCCTGGGCAATGTACTGGCCGTTAATTACCTACACCTGCACTGGGCACTATACTATGTCTAGCAAAGGTCCTAGCAAGCTTACAAACTGGTGGCTGCGCAAAGCTTGCGCTTTCAGGCATAGTGCCACAATACAACTGCAGAACTGTGACCATGCGAATGAATACTAAGTGTTTACCCAGTAATTTATTTGTTTCATTTATCAGGTTTCTTGTCTGTTTATTTATTAAAAAAAAGAAAAAAACAGAAACAAAAGGTTTCCGCCTCATCTCTGTTTTCTCAAGGTTTAGGAGTGCGTTTGTGTTTGCCAACGATCACTCGCCACAGGGGCGCGTTCCCACTAGCAAGGAGGATTGGATTAACCTCCTGAATCTCGTTCAGGCGGTTAATCCAATCCTCCTTGCTAGTGCGACCGCGCCGGTCTAGTATTATAGGAGAGAGTAGATGATGGAGTAGGTGGCCACTTAGGCTGGTGCAGAGACCAGCCAGCATAGTGAACTACTATTGTTCCAGTAGAGAAGAGGGCCCGCAATCTTGTCATCAAGATAGATCGACAGTCAGTTCTTCTGGTCGTGCGATCAATGATCATTACTTTGTCAACCTTTTTTTTGTCTTTTTTTTTTTAACTTTTTTTTTTTTTTTGAACACCGGCACTAACAGATAGGAGTGATGATACGAGCATGCACTCTGCTTATCGACTTGTCGCTGTGTGCATGTTCGGCTTGTGAGAGTTCATGGTCCTCATGATCCGAGTGTTCTCCTAAGCAGGTTCCTTGCACATTTATTATTAGTATTATTTACTATTTACCCCCTAGAAAGTTGAAACCCAACAAAAAACAAGAACTGGCAAACCCTCGAGGGTGCTAAACACTGTTAATTTGTTAAAGAAAACAACAATGAACCTGGTCTTTGATGCCGTAGTCGCAGAATGAATCCAATCATTCCAAAGCCAGGAAGGGGCGAGGTCCCACTGTCTCCCACAAACAAAGTGGATTGAATTTAACACCTGAATCTGGGCATCTATGTGGAAAGGTGCCGAAAATCGTGACTGGTATGCTTTTCGGCATCTCTGCATAAAATGCAATTATCGAGATTCGAGAGATGGTTAATGGAGGAAGGCCCAAAATTCGTGGTTTTCTCGTTGCATCACCACAAGCAATGTCATCGAAAATTTCGTGAACAAACAATGCGAGGTCATAATACAAACATAAAAAATCCAAACAGGTAAAAAAAACGGGGAAAAAAAAAAAGTTAAAAAAACTCAAAAGCACTACAAAAGTTAATAAAACCCTATTCAGAATAACTTACAGAGTTCACCAAGCATAAATTTAGGGAACATTCGCCGAAAATGACACCACCCATTAACCATCAGTGGCGTCATGCCTCACAGTACCACATTGGAGCTCCTTCTTGCCCTCCATAATGTGAGTATCTTCCATCTCTCTTCCCGTCTCCATGGTCCTCCCCTCTCGTCAAAGGATCTTCTCATCTAGAACCACCATCTTCCTTCTTGGTACCACGCGGCTATCAGGGCACCAGGCAACCAGCCTGCTATGGTACCGGCCTTCTTTCCCAGAGCCTAACCCACTAAGGTACCGATCGTGGAAACTGCGATGATGCGGACGGCCTCGATCGTGGAACCTGCGATGATGCGGACCGCCTCGATCGTGGAACCTGCGATGATGCGGACCGCCTTTTCCACAGTGCCTAACCTGTGATGATGGGGACCGCCTTCTACCAGCACAACTCACCACTACTCCCAATCAGCCTGGAGTCATCCTTCTCTCTCAGCTGCAAATCATCCTTCTCTAGGTTGAGTACATCCTCATCTTTAGTCTTATCTTTCCCCGGGACTGCAGTTCGATTGTGTTGCCATGGTAAAAGGCAAATGTGTCTGGCAGAACTATAAGGGACCAGTGAACGCAAGCTGATGCCCAGAATTCTGCTGGGGACTTGGCAATCTTTGACCAACATAGATTCAAACTTTGACTACAGACCGCTCAGCGGAAGCTGTAGAGACAGAGACAAGAGAACTGCACTAAACTGGCATAGAGAAATGAAGTCAGAATTCTGCTAATGATCTCAACCCACCGCACATTTTCAACACTCAGATGTTTTTGTTTCCGGCAGGGGTGGCGAGCCATTATTTCAATTTATTTGACTTTTAGTGGACGATTGATAAACAAGTGAATGCACGATGACACATGCCCTGGGTGCCAGGGGCCGAAAAACAACAAACAAAAAATCTAAAGAAAATGTTAACCCTTTGCAGGCTGAGCCAGAAGAACAGTGAAAAAAACATCCGAATTATAAACAACCCGCCTGCAACGTGAAAAAGAACACAGAATATGACACCTATTAGCGCTTGCTTGTGGGTATGGCACAAGCGCTTGCTAGTGGGCATTGGCACGAGCACTTGCTTGCGGGCTGGCTAGCAGTCATGGTGCGAGCGCTAGCTTGCAGGCACAGCGTGAGCGCGTGCTTGCGGGCTGGCTTGCGGGATTGATGGGAGTGTTGGCTGTGGCTTTACAAGCGCTGCTGAGGTGAGCGCTGCCCTGGGAGTGCTCTGGGGGTCGTAGTAAAGATGGTTTGGAGCTGAGGAGAGTGCGCATCTCCTCCTGGCGCACAGCAAGCAAGCAGAGGCTGGGGAAATATAGGAGGAGGTTTGGAGTGGCAGAGTCAGAGATGAAATGAGCCCAGTACTGTACTCGTCAACCTCGCATACATCAATGAACATTCACATGAGATTTCACACGTGAGAAGCCAAATCGAGGTACAATCAACACTTGAAGATGTCGTCTCCAATATTATTATCAATATGCAAGAATGTTTGTCTCCAGCGGCTCTGCCGCACACACATGCACAACGGATCTCAACCAGATAGCGGCTATGGCTTCTCCCCTCTTCTCTCTCCCTCTGACTCAGCTCGCTCTGCCTCACTTTCTCTCCTCCCTCTCTCTTTCTCTACCCCGGATCGTTACCCTGGATACACCCACTCAGGTAGCTTACACCTTGGCGGCTATGGCCACCATCCTTCTGCTCTATGTCTACCCTAGCTATGGAGTATCTCACAGGCGCCCTCTTCTTCGTCAGGCGCACAGTTCCCAAGTTGCCTTAACGCACAACCAGCAGCAGCGCTTCCACATCTCGGAACTGAACAAGTGATGAGCTGCTGCACTGTAGCTGCTAAATATATGACTTGGCTTTTCTTGGCTTGGCTTGGCTTCATCTGATTTTCCATGACTGGACTAAGATAGATCCCGGCAGCCCGCTGTGAGGAAACCCGGGGAGGGGTGCCTACCGTTCGCCGAAGCCAAGGGCAACGGCGTCTGTCACCCGCCGCGCCCGCTTCCGAGGTCCTCGGCGAGCAGGAGGGTGCGGGTGTATGATTAGATTCACTGTTTCCACTCTCCTTAAATTTGGTATCCCCTCGTGCTCACGCGACGGCAAGCTCAAACGGTCAACTGTAGTTCGGGCAAGATCGCGCAATGAGGGGTTTGAATTGTCAACTGTGACGCTCGCAAGCTCAAACAGTAGTTAGCTTTCAATAGCCAACTTCCAGATCGAAGAGTTCTTACAACACCGTTTAAACAGTCAACTGCCAAGCTCGCAAGGTCAAGCAATAGTTAGCTTTCAATAGTCACTTCCAGATCGAAGAGTTCTTAAAACACCACGTTTAAACAGTCAACTGTCAAGCCCGCAAGGTCATGCAGCGGGGAGTTCAATTTTTCAGCCATAAGAACATGCAGCAGTAAGTTTCAAAGACGATGTCGATTCGCCCAGCTTGAGGCAAGTCACTTTTTCACATACTCATTGTCCAGGGACAACATTCAGAGACTTAGCCACTTAACGTAGCTCAAAAAAAAAAGATCCAGGACATTGCAAGGTCCCCTTCTCGCGTAATTCTTGTCCAGGGGCAACATACGGGGGCCAGCCCCTTTGCAAGGGGAGAGAAGTTCACAGATTGAGGGGTCACGTAGTTCAAAATTAGGGAGAAAGGTTGAATTTCTTCCCCCAAGCCTCTTTCGGCCAGCTAGCGGTAAATGAGCGATCTGGCAAGTCCGTTCCCTCTCTCTCTCTCTCTCTCTCTCTCTCTCTCTCTCTCTCTCTCTCTCTCTCTCTCTCTCTCTTTTTCTCTCTCTCTCTCTCTCTCTCTCTCTCTCTCTCTCTCTCTCTCTCTCTCTCTCTCTCTCTCTTTCTCTCTCTCTCGCTGTCCTCTCACTCTTCCTTCTCTCTCCCCCGTTCTTTGAGTGTATTGTCTCCCCCTCTCGTTTCTTTAGCTCGCTTCCCTCAGTCGACTCTCTTTCGAGCACCTTTGATTACTAGGGCGCTCTACTCTTTCAGAAAACCTCCCGCCAGCTCAATTACTCAATGACATGTCAAACTCTCCCTTGTTATGCATAAAAAGTACA